AACAAACAAAAAGGAATTACTGGCTTTGCAGACACTGCCGCCTGGAAGCTGCCCATGACTAGCCATGGTGAACGCCACCGTGTTCTTCGGCATCGCTGTCAAAGGCAAGCCCTTGGGCTGGGTCTCCTTCGAGCAGTTTGCAGACAAAGTTCCAAAGACAGCAGAAAACTTCCGTGCCCTGAGCACTGGGGAGAAAGGATTTGGTTATAAAGGTTCCTCCTTTCACAAAATTATTCCAGGATTTTTTGTGCCAGGGTGGTCACTTCACACGCCATATTGGCACAGGCGGCAAGTCCATCTATTGGCAGGAATTTGAGAATGAGAACTTCGTCCTGAAACATACAGGTCCTGGCATCTTGTCCATGGCCAATGCTGGACCCAACACAATCGTTCCCAGTTTTTCATAATCATTGCCAATCCTGTTCTGCGGGCTGACTGTGCTCAGCGGCCCCTCTTCTGCTCCGTGTGACATGGGCTGGGACGGCGTCACTGGAGGCCCAGCCAGACCAGAACATCGCAGAGGTTCTCAAACTGTGGCTCTCGACCCCTTTGGCTATTGAACGACCCTTTCACAGGGGTCGCCTAAGCCCATCCTGCATATCAGATATTTACATTATGATTCATAACAGTAGCAACATTACAGTTATGAAGTAGCAACGAAAATAATGTTATGGTTGGGTCACAACATGAGGAACTGTATTTAAAGGGCCAGAAGGTTGAGAACTACTGCATTAAGGCCAAATATCTTAAACAAAATACATTTCCACTACCTTTCCTTTTCCTTGGGTTATACAACTACTTAACTGCACTTCTTGATAGGGTGTGGGGCTGCCTCAAACAGCAAAATTGTTCAGTCATGTGATCCAGTTCAGTCATCATGGGAGCTCTAAGCTCCAAATTGACTGCGGCATTACATCTATTATTAAAGAGGATTTTTCTAAAAGCAGACTCTTTTATTAGAACCTTTATTACCAGAAGTTAACATTGAATAAGGAAGCATTCTGGATCATGGGGAGAAAGCATAGTTAAATACTAACTTAATTTATGATAAAAACATACCAGCTGGTTAGGAAGACCATACAAGAATGTATACAAGGCATATAGAAGAATAAGTAAAACAAGCAAGATAAAAAAGTGTAACTCCAAGTATTTGAAACTCATATA